TCACCCTCAATTCAATCCCAGAATTTGACATTCACATAAATCATCTCCACCCCTCTTCCGCCGTCGGCTGTTTGGAGTTGATTCCGATCGATTTTCTCACCAAAATCGATTGGAACCATCACTTTATCATTTTCCAAGAATTTTCCTGGCCTTGATATCCCTCGATTTAACCAATTTTTTTACGAATCTCGCAACCTAGCTCCACTGCGTGCGACATCCATTTTCGGCCTTTTCGACATGTACTTGGCATCGTTGGCCTTCCCCAACACCACCATCTTTCTCCCCTCAGCCTTCTCACCAATACCTCATCCGTTTACTTCGCCAATTGTCGACCGCTGATACCTTTTGGGTCGCGACTTCTCAAGTCTTTTCCAGTCAATCTTGGCATTGGAAATCAACCATTTCACCACCCATCGCTTCTCCAACATCTGCTCTCCAAAACCCCCCACTAACTTGACCCCGTTAGCCCGTCGGTCGTTGTCCACCTCTCTTAGTGATTTTGAATCTCAAAAGGCAAGAAAAATAAATTTGAAATAATTTTTTGAATATATGCTTATATTATTAAAAGGCCCCCAAAATAACTTTTGCCTAGGGTCACAAATGTTCTTGAGATGACCTTGTGTACATGATTGACAATGCTAGAACCACGTAGGATGTGTGCGTGATCCTAATGGATCAATGGTGGATGCAATGCGATGATGAGCGTACATTAATAATTATGAAATAATAAGGAATTAGAAAAGATTTTTAAAATGGTTCGGTTGCTTATCATGCAAAACCTATATCCACTATTATATTATTAAGTGTATTGGCGAATTGAGTTATAAAGAGTTATTCTGAGTTACAAAGAGTTATCTTAACGAGTTTCCCCTCTTGAGTTTTCTCTTTTCTTAGTCTCTGTCTTAGTTTCTCTCTCCGGAATCCTCTCCCTCTTAAATAGATTATCATTGGGGTTATATAGCACCTGTTATAAGATTATTTAAAATTAAACTCAAACAAGCAATAGCGAGGTATTTGGCTTTGATTGTGAAGTCCATATCACAAGATATCTCCAGGCCAAAAGAGGAATTATTCGCTCCAGATTTACCGCATAACAGTTACTATAATTAAAAGATTAGCTATAGTTCAGAATTATCACTCATTAAAAGGGGTTGGTTGACAATACTTTTAGGGCAGATTAGTGATAATTTTGAAAATATAAGGCGTTTCAAAAATAAGGTAAACCATAGGGAGTTCGGCAACATTAGCCATTTCTCAACTATTTAATGGATTTTAGAACTTCAATTGTTAAAAAAAAAAAAAAAAATTTACTTTTCAATTATAAAAAAGAATAATATTATATATCCCTATCCCAACTTTATATATTAAAATATTTTACTTTAAATGATGTGATATAAACGTTATTTACATCAAAAATAGTCGGAAAAGCATCTTTAATATATAACTGCGTAAAAAAGTGTAGTTGCAAGTTGCATAATTACTTGATTATTTAATGAAAATGTAATTAATTAAGTTGATAAAAAGAGCAAACAAAAAGTACATGGAATGTAGAGAGACGAAATAAATAAATTTATATATAATATAATCTCCACTACGATAAAGTACCAGGAGGGCAATTTGAAATTGAATGAATCCCGATCCCGATCCCATCTATTTTATTGTACTTACTGTAAAGCAAGATAAAATTAATTATGTTAACCCAATTGTCTGCTGCATAATTATAATCAAGTTGTATAATTAAGATCTTGAGATCATACTAACTTTAGTATTATTTCCTTTTCCATCCATAAAATAGTTATATACCACCATTTAATTATCTTATCAAAATCAAGACGATCAAATCTTCTTCTACTGCACATTATACTAGTAATACCAGTAAGTAATATTCGTTTTGGTTTCATGCAATCAAAACACAAAGATCATGATCTTATCAAAACTACAACTTCATAAAGTTAAATCTTTCGCTATTATTGGCTCCTCTCCAAGTGAAAATCTGACTAGAAATTCTAATATCACCTTCGTTTTTACTGTAAACCATTTACATTATTTCGTCTTTGATATTTATATGTATTATACTATTTAAATAGAGAAGATAATAATTATTAATTTATGTATAAATCCGGAAAGACTCTTTGTTGCATCCATGGGTTATATTACCTATAAATTCATTCATATATGTAAAACTTTATGTTATAAATATCTGTATTAAAATATATTAGGGTTTCTAATATATGACATAATTTTTTTTTGTTGAATAATCTTGATTTTCTAAGTATTTTTCACATAAATTCTCAACACACATGGTCCATTAATAACCGATAAATGTGAAACCAGTTAGAAATCAAGATTATTTAATAAAATTATGCCAATTATTATAAATTCTTTGTTTTTTATTTATCTTTAGTTCTTACTTATTGTATAAACATTTACATAATAATTTTTTTTTAAATATGGATAATTATGGTAAACTATTTAAATATTTCTTTAAATGAAAACATAACATTTATTTATATCAAGAAAAACTCTTTGAACCATCTCTAGATGATCGAGTGGTTCGATAGAGATTCTTAAGTGTATTACTAAAAAAGTTCTGAATTCAAGTCTTTCTTCGGTTGTTAATAAGAGTAAACACCAAAGCTGTTACTCGATCGGTAGTTTCAAAATCTTGAGACATTAATTAAGGTACGCATAAATTAGTTCGAACATCCTTTATCATTTAAAAAAAAAAAAAAAACTTTGATACATCAATGAGTTATATTATCTATAAATTAATCCATATAAATATTTGTATTAAAAGGGATTAAGATTTCTAATAGAATTGATCGAACAATCTTCATCTTATAACTGGTTTCACAGTTATCGGTCATTAATGGAGCATGTGTGTTGAGATTTTATGTGAAAATTATTATGATAAAAATGGGGAAAAGGGTTTCTAGAAACTCGTAGGCATGCCACAAAACATTCCCTTCCAATTAAGAAAGAAAAAATAAAACCTTAATTAATGCTTGCTTGTAACCCCACAGCATCCCATAACTTCTATCCTAATCTACTCTGAAAAGACAACCAAAAGAGAAAACAAAAATATAAATACAAAAAATGAAATATGAAATCTTCCGTCCTTTACTCCTTTAATCAAAGAAAAATTAATTAACTACTAAAGAGATCAACACACATGCTTAGCTGTTAAACAAAGTTTAAGCAGTACAAGTATTATATTAATTAAGATTCACTTTTTTTTTTATTAGTAAATAATCCGTACAAAACAAGGATGGTTACTTAGTGTCTAATTATAATTAATTAATGTGAGTTTGATGTCGTGACTAAGCAACATTTACAATTTCCATGCTACTAAAATGGGTGATGTGGTGGTGACACGTTTGCTAAAAGATAAGGACAAATGGTCAATAATGGTCAGTTGCTTGAATTGTATGGGTTTTTTTTATTTTTTACAAATAGGTTGATGTTATAGGTGGCAAAAATGGACTGGTCAAGCTACTATTACAAAGTCTTTTTATCTTTAATCTGAATCTGATTTTGTGCACCTCACCCACTGACAACCAAATTATTGGATGGTTCAGGGCATCCCCTTTTTTTTTTAACATGCTGTCTTTTACTTCATATAATCTTAAACAATGCCACATTTCAAAGTTCCAATCTATTTTAATAACCAAATAATCTCAAGCTTCAATAACCTGATCACAAGTTTAAAGTTCGAAATCACCTAGAAAGTACATACATGTATACTCACTCGTTATTGTTATTCATAATATTCATTTCAGATTCGATTTCATCGATCTCACATTTAAAAATACCTTCTTTTAGGTAAATTAATTGATTGGTCATCTATTTGGTACACTTCGAACTTAAGATCCCCTGGCCTTTCAACCCTACAACCTCCCCTCAATCAATCCAACCAGAAGTGAGTGGTTAAATACATTCTTTTATCCATTTGAGATGTAGGATTTGAGCCTTAAATTTGATATTTTTTACATTAAAATTTACCCTTTCACACCCTTAAATGTAATTTTCTAAATAGATGTAATGTTATACTTTAGTTTCCTCGTTCATTGAGTATTACACTTTGATCCTTCTAGATGTTATTGTTTCTATGTATGCTACAATACAAATCCTTTTGAAGTATTGTTGGGAACATAATCAAATTAGACAAAAAGAGAAGAAGGAGAAAAAAAAAAAAAAAACCAGAAAAAGCTGGTAGGTTACATGTGGCTAATGAAAGGTATGAGTATGGAAAATGCATACCATCAAATGACTAGTCGACAAAATCTCTTATAAAAACGTAATGAAATATGACACCTGTCCTGTAAATGACGTACCAAAACCATCAATAGTATGAATAAAATAATGTCCTGAGTACCCAATATGGAATCCAACAAATTCTATTTTATTAAGAATTAATGGAGATTACATGTATCAATATCCTTAAGAAGAAAACAAACTCAACACCTGGAGAAATTTCATACGCCCTCCTGTAATTTTCAGTCTAAAAAATCCACCACCCACTTTTATTTTATGTCTTATTTCTCATACCGTGCTTTAGAGCTATGAATTCTTATTGTCTAGAAGCATAAGCCCTAGTTTATACGTGGCCTAAGGCCGTGAGATTCGTGTCTCTCTTTTGTCTCACTTTACCATTAATAAAATGTATTCTATTTGGATTTGATCCTTCTTAGAACATGTCACCCAATGCCTTAACATTCTTTTTTATTTCCCAAATGGGTCCTTTAATCAGAAACACACCACAGCCGTTTGATTGGAAATTTAGTATGGGAACTTGATGAAAACAAAGGGTTTTTCAAGTCATTTTACAATTGATGATGGTGTTGTACAGATAAACAAGTAGCTTAAACAGTGAAATGGATATAGATGATTTGAAAAGGACACTAAATTGACTGATGGAAAGAGGCAGCAGCGGGGGTGCCTTAGTGCGTATATAAATATGCGACATACACTCACCTCAAATGCCATAGAATTTGGAAGACATTAATAACTTTACCTAGGCATTTTAGCTAGCTGAGGAGCTCAAGCATATTATAAATCAAACCAAAGGCTTTAAGCTTCTTTTTCTTTTACCTTCATGTCTTGGGGAGTGATGGCTGGTCACTTGGGTTGGGGCATCATTGAAGAGGGATGGAGGAAAGGCCCTTGGACTGCTGAAGAAGATAAACTGTTGATTGAATATGTCAGATTGCATGGTGAAGGACGATGGAATTCTGTTGCTCGGCTTGCAGGTATTTTAATATTTAACTGAAACAATTTCATCAATTATGTTGTAATATCGTCAGTTTTAGTGAAAAATCTGTTTTTGGCTGTTCAGGATTGAGAAGGAATGGAAAGAGTTGCAGATTGAGATGGGTGAATTATCTGAGGCCGGACCTGAAGAGGGGGCAGATAACCCCACATGAAGAGAGTATAATTGTAGAGTTACATGCTCGATGGGGGAACAGGTAAATATTTGATCAAGAAATTTTTACAGTTTGCTTCATGTAGATTAACTACAAGAAGTTGATCGCTAACTTAATTACTTTAGGTGGTCAACAATTGCGCGAAGCTTGCCGGGGAGGACTGATAATGAAATCAAGAACTACTGGAGAACCCATTTCAAGAAAAAGGCTAAACTGTCTCCGGACAACTCTGATAAGGCCAAGAATCGTCTCCTGAAAAGGCAACAATTTCATCAACAGCAGCAGCAACTGCAGCTACAGCAGCAGGAACAACAGCAGCCGCAGCAACAAATGCAACAACTCAATCAATTGGACATGAAAAAAATTATGTTTTTGCTCGAGGAAAATGAGCACAGAGCTCCTTATGTTCCTCAACCGAGGCAAGAAATTGGGGCAACATATCCTCATACTAGTGAAGAACAACAACAGGGGTGGTTCTACTCCATGCCTGGCGGCAATGCGGTTGTGACGGAGCCCTTAACTGAGGAGTTTCTGTGGGATAATTTGTGGAACTTGGATGATTTTCATGGCAATTTTGGTGTGGTCGGCAAAGCCAGTTTGCACAATTTAGTTTCTCCCTTTTGTTAATCTTTAAATTTTGTGTTCTTAATCAGTGCATGCCACTTAGTTAATTTCAGTAATTTATCATCATCAAACGAGATGGCTCTAACAAAAGCGGGAGCTTTGGATTAATGTTGATGGTGTGAAATTTGGGTTGCAAGAAGTGCAATCCAAACTTATGTATAATTTTTATTAATAAAATGATCTAATTTTGCTAAAATTCATCTGATAATTGATTCGTGACAAATAATTAGATTCAAGTTACATAAACGTATCAATCAAACAAGTAGTACTCTATGGAGGAATAAAGTAATTAACAAAATTACTAATTAAATCAATCAAAACTAGATCCGATGATCTTAGTTTTGATATCAGATATTATAAAAATCGGGTATCAAACTCAAAAGATTAACTTATTTAATAGAGTAACGTGCCTTCTTATAAACTGTAATATACTTTTATATATGCACTAAAAAATATATAAAACAGTAAAGTGAAAAAGACACCATGTCAATCAGTCGGGTACGAAACGATCATTAATTAGTATTGTTATCTAAAATAAAAGATGATTTGATAGGAAATACTCAATTAAAATTGATGACTAAAGGTATTAAGGATTAAGCACTTGCACAAGAACAAAAGAATTATCATCCAAAAAGCATGAAAGCATAGTTTACAGAGTACTTTAAAATTAGTACAACTCTAGGTTACCTTTTTGAGTTCATGTTTGTCGACACATTCTTTATAAACAGTTTTTGGTTGTATATTATAAAGTTATTTTTTATAATTTTTATATCAATCTATGATGCCATTTTAAGATTGGAACTAGATTCTGTTAATTGCACTAACCTCATGCGCAATCTTTTGTGATTTCCTCAATCTTGTTATAAATTAATACGTTGCTAAGGTATAAACATAACATTCTATTAGTAAACATGCTTATCTAAGAACAAAAATATCCTAAATCCTCCATATAATTTAATCATAGTCTTTTTGATTGCGGTCTAGCTGGGAATTTTTTTTTATTTTTATTTATATGCATATAGAAAAGTAGAAAATCACTTCACTGTAACAGCAAAATTTATGTATTAAAACCATTATTGGATGACTTAATGGTAAGACAATAAATGAAGATCTAATATGATCTTCTAAGTTTGATTCTACCAGTTGGTAAAAGAGCAAGAGAATGTTCTAACTTAGTTTCTCAAATTCGAATCCACATAACTATTAATAGGAATGATCATTAGAACTCTTACCTAATTGGTAATTCTAGGGTTTAGGAGGATTAGTTGTATTTTGAAATAATCAAGATAAAATTAGTTCGATCAGTAGCATATATGCATTAAATTCTTAAGGTTTATTTTATCAAATTTTATTGTTTCTAAGTTCCAATTGATTTGCATATTTACAGAATTTATAGATTTGTTATTATTTTTTTCTTTTTTTAAGAAAATACATGTGATAACCATGTGCATAATTGTTTATATGCTTGATTGATATGTTAAAGAAAGATATATTTTATTTTCTCAATCTTTGTTATATATATATAACAAAGATTGAGAAAATAAAAAATATAAATATAAGGGTTATTTTGTAAATAGATGGGGTTTCTTTATATATATATATATATATATATATATAAAATTTAATGAGATAAACTTAAAAGTGGTGTAATGAAAATGGTGTAATAGGTGGTGTAAATATAGCATTATTCGGTTTATGAAGATAAATTATAGATAGATTGTGAAGGTCAATAGCATCATTTTATTAAATAAAAAAAAATGTATTATTATATATATATATTTAAAAATTTTAATGGGATGAACTTAAAAGTGGGGTTTATTAAGATAAATTATAGATAAATTGTAAAGGTCAATAGCATCACTTTATTAAAAAAAATTCACTATATAATTTCAAATATTAAAAAAAATAATAATTTGGTGAATAAGATAATAATTAAATGATAATTTGATTTATTATAATTAATTTAATTATTGAAGTAATTATTTGTATCCTAACAGCTATTATTAAATATAAATTTTCATTAAATAATGAATTAGTTAATTATTTGAAAATTGAGTGAGAATTATTTTTTATGTCTTGTCCCATTTATCTCCCTCGTCGGCATAAACTGAAGGGGCGGCGTGGGTTTATTTTGCCCCATTTACTAGTTGCTACTCCCTTCTTGCACTTCAATCCAGTCCCATCCCTGCAACAGCCGGCCAAACAGGGCACAAATGAGAATTAATGCTCTTCAGTGAAATAGCACAACCCAGACGTATGCATTTTTCATAAGGTGAGAAGCAGTAGTTCGGACCAAAATTTGAGATACAACGTTGTGAACTGAAGACATCTGAACTCGGTGGATGCTGACTGCCCACATTTCATTTTTATTTCACTTTATTCTCTGATGATCCTCCTCTCTGCACGCAACACATTTACCCTTGTACTCTCCCGGACTTACAATTCTGCCGCTCTGCTTCAATTTCTCAATCTTTCTGTCACCCATAAATCTCTGCCACTTACAAGACAATCCCAGGCTCAAATTCTCTCTTTTGGCCTCACTTCAAACTCCTTCTTAGCCACAAAGCTCATCACTGCCTACGCTTTATGTGGTCATCTAACTCACTCACAACTCGTTTTTAACTCTTTTAAACCCAAGAATGTGTATCTATATAACTCATTGATAAATGGGTATGTCAAAAATCATGATTACGATGAAGCTTTCGATTTATTTAATGATATGTGTTATAGTAATGTGTCTCCTGATGATTTTACGCTTGCAACAATTGCAAAAGTTAGTGGTGAGATTAAGGACTTGAGTTTAGGGAAGTTGATTCACGGGAAGAGTATAAAAGTTGGGTTTGTTTTGGATATTGTTCTTGCCAATTCTCTTATGGCCATGTATAACAAATGTGGAAAATATAGTGAAGTTAAGAATATGTTCGATGAAATGCCGCAAAGAAATTCGAGTTCTTGGAATGTGCTGATTTCAGGGTATGCAAATTCAGGGGATTGTAGTTTTGCTAAAGATTTGTGGGAAATTGTTAAGTGTATGCAGATTGATGGAGTAAAATTTGATGCATTTACCGTTTCAAGTCTTTTGCCTCTATGTGGTGGTCAAGATGATATTGCTAGGAAGTGGGACTATGGTAGGGAGCTTCATTGTTATATTATGAGGAATGAATTGGATATCGTTTCAGATTGGAATTTTCACTTGGACTGTTGTCTAATTGATATGTACTCGAGAAGTAATAATCTTGTTCTGGGTAGACGGGTATTTGATAGAATGAAGCATAGAAATGTTTATATTTGGACAGCAATGATCAATGGTTATGTGCAGAATAGAGAGTTGGATGAAGCATTGGTTCTTTTTCGTGAAATGCAGGAGAAAGATAGAATAGAACCTAATAGAGTGTCTCTTGTGAGTGTTCTTCCGGCTTGTAGCTCACTTGTTGGTTTAATCAGTGGGAAGCAAATTCATGGATTTTCAATTAGAAAGGAGCTCAATCATGATGTGTCCTTGTGTAATGCTTTGATTGATATGTATGCTAAGTGTGGGAGCTTGGATTGTGCAAGGAAAGTTTTTGAGGATAGTTCTTTTCATAAAGATTCAATCTCCTGGAGTTCAATGATTTCAGGATATGGATTGCATGGGAACGGTGCAGAAGCTGTCTTCTTGTATGAGAAGATGCTTTCCCTTGGGAACAAACCAGACATGATAACAATAGTAGGGGTTCTGTCTGCTTGTGGCAGGTCAGGGTTGATAAATGAAGGGCTTGATATCTATAACTCAGGGATAAATGTATACGAAATTAAGCCAACAATTGAGATATGTGCTTGTGTTGTCGATATGTTAGGTCGAGCAGGCCAGCTTGAAGGAGCACTTGATTTCATCAAAAAAATGCCTGTGGAATCTGGTCCAAGTGTTTGGGGGGCTCTTGTTAGTGCTTCTATAATGCATGGAAATGTTGAGATGCAGGATTTGGCTTATAAATTCCTTGTTCAGTTAGAACCAGAGAACCCCTCAAACTATGTTTCACTGTCGAATTTGTATGCTTCCTCTCGAAGATGGAATGGTGTGGCTGAAGTGAGAGCAGCAATGAAAGATAAAGGTTTAAGGAAGGCACCTGGGTGCAGTTGGATTAATATTAACGGCAAGACCCATTGTTTTTTTGTTGCTGATAAAGCTCATCCTTTTTCCGATTCAACTTATGAAATGCTAGATAAACTCAGATTAATAATGAAAGGAGATTGTTATTCATTTTATCTTGAATCAATGACAGTTTTTTAGCTATCTTGTTGGTAGCTTCAGTATTTTTTTTCCCTTTGTTGAAACATGAGACCAAAAAAACGCATACAAGAGTGCAGTATTCAAACCAAGCAAAGCAAACTCACAAGTAATAATCAATAATGTAAAACAAGAACAGAAAAAAAAGAACATCAGGATTTATAGTGGTTCGGTAATCTGTTAGATTACCTACATCCACTCTTCAGGGCAAAAGGAAAAATTCACTATGAGATATGAGAAACCTTACAGAGATTATGCTCACTATTTTACACAAGGCAAAACCCGAGTAAACCCCTCTGTACAAACACCCGTACACCCAGATGTCCTCACCACTCATACATCACCAAATAACCAGAATCAGTGACAGATTTATACACAAGGATAAGGCAAAAAAGAATTACAGCTAAGACCTACCACCATCGTTTGATTCCATCAACGCTCTTCGGATTTCCAACACAACAGATTCGTAACAATTTTCTCTCTTTGTTAACCAAGAGAGAAAGCTCGAGAATGAGATTGTGCAAAACCTAATTTGCATTAGGTTTATTTGAAGATTGCAAAAAGACAGAATTGCCCCTTTAGTCTTTAACAAATAACTTTGACCACTCAAGTTATAAGTTGACTTCCACGTATGCACAGGTCAATTGCCACATCATAACAAATCTCCACCTTGGCATTTGATCTTCACCTTTCCTTATTGCCCTGGAAAATTTCCTCTAATTTTCTTCATTATGCAGAAGGCTCTTAAAGAGCCTTAACTTGTCCAAAGTAACAGACTTAGTGAACATATCTGCTGGGGTTCTCTTTTCCAAGAATCTTCTCCACCTTAATGACTTTATCTTCAATCAGATTTCTGATGAAATGCAACCTAACATCAATGTGTTTTGATCTCTCATGGAAGACCTGATTTTTGCACAGAAAAATTACACTTTGGTTGTCACTCTTGATTGGAACTTGCTACTGAATTAGTCCCATCTCATCAAGCATTCCCTTGAGCCACATTGCCTCTTTAACTGCCTCTGTAATTGCAACATATTCTGCTTCCGTGGTTGACAGAGTTACTATAGCCTGCAAGTTAGCCTTCTAGCAAACCAGATTACTCCAAATAGAAAAGCAGAAACCAGTCATGGATTTTCTATTGTCTACATTTCTAGCATAATTAGCATCCACACATCCTATAATAGGATTCACCTGATTTTGCCCTCTGCTGTAAACAATACCAGTGGACAGTGTACCCCTTACATATCTAAGCACCCATTTTATAGCTTCCCAATGACTCTTTCCAGGGTTACTCATAAACTTACTTACAAAACTGACTGCAAAAGCCAAATCTGGTCTGGTACAGACCATTAAATACATCAAACTCCCTATTGCATTTGCATATGGGATGCAGGCCATTTCCCTCTTTTATTCTTCAGTTTTTGGACACTGGGTTATACTAAGTTTAAAATGCTGACCTAATAGTGTTTTGACAGGTTTAGAGTCAACCATATTAAACTTCTTAATGATTTTTTTAGCATACTCTTTCTGTGACAACACAAGACTCCCAGTTTTCCTATCCCTTTCAATGTTCATACCTAAGATCTTTCTAGCTTGTCCTAAATCTTTCATTTCAAATTGTTTACTCATCCCCTTTTTGAATCTAACAATTTCAGAAAAGTCTTTACAAGCTAGAAGCATATCATCCACATATAAACCCAAGTAGATGTAGCATTCACCATACAAACATTTGAAATAGAAACAACCATCAAAGCTACTTCGAATAAAACCAGCATTCACCATAAAACAATCAAACTTCCTATACCACTACCTAGGTGATTGCTTTAACCCATACAAGGATTTTTTCAAAAAACCAACTTGGTTTTTAGGCCCCTTTTCAAACAGTTCAAGCTGCTCCATTAGAATTTTTTCTTCTAAATCACCATTTAAAAAGGCTGTTTTGATGTCTAACTGCTCTAGTTCTAAACCAAACCGAGCTACCAAAGATAACAGTATTCTAATGGTGATATGCCTCACTACTGGTGAGAAAATCTCATTGTAGTCAACCCTTTCAACCTGTGTAAAGCCTTTTGCCACTAACCTTGCTTTAAACCTAGGTGCTTCTACCCCTGGTATACCTTCTTTCCTTTTGGAAACCCATTTGCATTTAACAACCTTATTGCCTTCAGGTTTGTCAATTAAAATCCAGGTCTGATTTTTTATTAGGGAATCATACTTTTCTTGCATGGCCAGTTTCCACTACCTAGAGTCTCTACTACTCATGGCTTCCTTAACAGTTCTAGGTTCCTCATCAATCTCTTTAGCAACTTGAAAAGCAAAAGCTACCATATCAGCTTGTGAGTACCTATTAGGTAATCTAATTTTCCTTCATTCTCTATCTCTAGCTAGTTGATAATTTTGTAAATCATTTCCAACACCATTATTATCACCATTATCATCTAAGCTAGGTTCATCCACCTGGGTTTGAAAATCTGAAATAGGATCTGAACCAGGATTGTTCAGGTCTGAAACTTCTCCACCTAGATCCAAGTTAAACACCTCTGTCCTATCTACATTGTCACTTTCATTCTGACTCAACCCACCCAATTCATCCTCATTAAACCTAACATCTCTACTAATAATGCATCTTTTTCCTGCAATATCCCAGCATCTGTAACCTTTTATGCCATCTAAATACCCTAAGAAAATGCATCTAATGGCCCTTGGTTGTAACTTATCAGTTTTCTCATGAATAAACACAGTGCACCCAAAAACCCTAAGGTTACTATAACTTACAGAATGCCCAGACCATTTCTCCATGGGTGTTCTGAAACTAATAGCTGAGGAAGGTATTCTGTTTATTAGGTAAATAGCTGTGTGAGCAGCTTCTACCCAAAACCGGGTGGGTAACTTAGAACAGGATAACAAGCTTCTAACCTTTTCTAGAATGGTCCTATTTATCCTTTCTGCTAAACCATTCTACTGGGGTGTGGGTCTTACTGTTCTATGCCTCAGAATTCCACTTTCCCTACACAGACTATCAAACTCTTCATCGATAAATTCTAACCCATTATCGGTTCTAAGTTTCCTGATTTTCTTCCAAGATTGATTTTCTATCATGACCTTCCAATCTTTGAATTTCCTAAAAGCCTCTCCCTTAGTTTTCAAGAAGTAGATCCATACCCTTCTAGAGTAATCATCTATGATGCTAATAAAATACCTACAACCTCCCAAAGATGGATATTTAGTTGGCCCCCACACATCAGAATGGATATAATCTAAGATGGCCTTGGAACAGTGATTTCCCACACTAAACCTAATTCTGCTCATCTTTCTATAAATACAGTGATCACAGAAATCTAGCTTCTCAACTTTATCCCCTCCTAAAGCATTCTACTTACTTAACTCTATCAATCCTCTCTCACTAATGTGTCCCAACCTTTTGTGCCAAATAGAGGTCTTATTAGGTTTCTGTGAGGTCACTGCTGCTGTTCCAGCAACAGTGGACCCATTTAGAACATATAAGCCATTCTTTTTCTCTCCTTTCATTACTACTAAAGAACCTTTAGTAACTTTAAGGACTCCACCTTGAGCCTTGTAGCTAAAACCATTTGAGTCTAGGCTGCCTAAGGAGATTAGGTTCCTTTTCAACTCAGGTATGTGCCTAACTTCTGAAAGGACTCTGGAACTGTCATCATGAAGACTTAACCTGACATCCTCAATACTGAAGACATTACACACTGCATTATTCTACATTAGAACCTTGCCAGATTCTATCTTCTTAAAATTCATCTAGGAACTCCTATTTGGAGTTATGTGGAAAGTGCATCCAGAATCTAAAATCCACTTAGATTCTGATTCTCTATCAGAAGCTACTAGGACATCAAAGCTTTCATATCCATCATAGGCTATATCTACACTGCCATTATCCTCTTTCTCTCCTGATCTTTTCTTTCTATCTGGACAATCTCTCTTAAAGTGCCCTTCCTTATGATAGTGAAAACATTTCCTCACAAACTTGGATTTTGACTTAGATCTATCCCTAAAGTGACCTTTCTTTGACATCTTTTTCTCAAACCTACCTCTGATATTCAACCCTTCTCCATCTAGCTTACCCTCCTTTTTAAACTCAGTATCCTTAGTAGTAATAGCTACTACTACTTCGTCTAGTTTAAGAGTTTGTCTACAATACTTAAGGGTATCAACAAAATTTGAGAAAATTTTAGGAAGAGAATTAATAAGAATCACAGCTTGATCTTCATCCTTAACTTTAACATTAAGACCTTTTAAATCCTATACTAGTTTCATAAAGTCATTCATATTATTACCTAATATTTTGTTTTCATCCATTTTAAGACTGAAAAATTTCTGTTTTAAAACTAACCTATTAGGAGAAGACTTTGACAAGTATAGAGAGTCCAATTTTTCCCAAATCTCTACTAGTGTGGTCATTTTCTTAACCTCTCTTAGGACTTTATCCCCTAACCCTAGAATTAGAGTACTATAAGCTTTATCTAATAGATCTTTCTTCTCTTTCTCAGACAAAGATTTTGGTAAGCTATCCTTACCCTCTAAGGTGGCAGACAATCTATCATTAATTAAGACAACTCTCATCTTCATCTTCCATAACCCATAATCATTATCCCTTGTAAATTTTTCTACTTCAAACCTAGTCATTTTTAGGTTTTTAACCTTCCCAGTTACTCAGAGTGTAAAAGCCCCAATTTACCAGAGACAAATTGAAACCCTAAGTTAAAAGAAAAATTGCTACTGTGAAAACAGTCAAACCCTAGACTATTGCAGATTCGAAACAATTGGATCTCACAACCTAGAATAAGACCTAGGTGCTAGAACGAAGAACTAGCTCTGATACCACTTGTTGAAACTAAGGGTGTTCAAAAGCGGTTAACCGGTTTTCTAAACCAAACCGGATTTTCGGTTCGAGAAAATTCCCGAACAGAAACCGAACCGGTTTTCCTAAAACCGGTTTTTCGGTTACCGATTAACCATTTAAAAAAAAGCGG